AAGCAAAATTAGAGAAAGACAAATATCATATGACTTCCCTCATAATGAAGAATTTAAGATACAAAACTGATGAACATAAGGGAAGGGACAAAAATAATATAAAAACAGGGAGGGGGACAAAACATAAGAGACTCTTAAATATAGGGAACAGAGGGTGGCTGGAGGGATTGTGAGGGGAGATGGGCTAAATGGGAAAGGGACATTAAGGAATCTACTCCTGAAATCACTGTTGTACTATATGCTAACTAACTTGGATGGTAATTAAAAAATTAATTAAAATGAGTTGATGTTGCAAAATTGACACCCAGAGAAGTCACATCAGGGTGTATATCCGTTGATTATAGTTACTTCTTCATTCTCATCAAACTGAATATCATGATTTTATTTCCATCTGAAGCATTGTTAGTTTTTCTCATTAGAGAGGTTAGTCATTTTAATATGTTTATCAATTACAAGATTTGTTAATATCTGATTACCAATCCATGCTGATAAACTCAGAACAGATCCTGTATAGTGTTTGATTTGGGACTAGATGGGTTGATGAGGATGACCATAATTTGTGCTGAAAGGTATAATATAAAACCGGATATATAGCACATGTTAATGAAAGGAGCACCATTCATGAGAAATTTGCCTGAACACTTTATTGCAGGGTGGTGGTGCAGTCCAAGGAATGATTGTAGATGGAGAAAAGATATTTTCAATTTCTTTTCCATTATTGAAAAGAATTTAATGCCCTCATTGTGCTAGCAGTACTTCCCTCTAAAGTTTACAGGGTTTTTTTTGTTTCTATTAAACATAGCTCCAGGGGCATATATTAAAAAAAAAGATGCTTTTTATGTCCATACAATCTTCATTGAAGACTCAAAAGGTCAAAGAATGAAATTGTTCATCAGAGTTAATACTGATAGCTTCTAGCAATGTGTGAATTCTTTTTAAGAAATTTTTAAAATAACATTTTTATTAGAGAGGCTTTGAATAACTTCTGTATCAAAGTTAGACCTGTGTTCATTTTCCATCATGAAGTTGGTCATGCAGTTTTGGCCCATGCAGATGAATATTTTTACTTGAAAGCCTCATGTGTACTTTTGTTTGATACAAACTACAGAGGGAAATACATTTCCTTTTCCATGGCATTTACTATACAGTCCTTTTAATCTAGAGAGATCATATATTATAAAATTGGCATTGCTTGTTTTTGAAAAACATTTAAGCTTGAAACTTTTGATAAAGATATCTCGGGGAGCCTGGGTGGCTCAGTCGGTTAAGCGGCCGACTTCGGCTCGGGTCATGGTCTTGCGGTCCGAGAGTTCGAGCCCTGCGTCGGGCTCTGTGCTGACAGCTCAGAGCCTGGAGCCTGTTTCGGATTCTGTGTCTCCCTCTCTCTGACCCTCTCCTGTTCATGCTCTGTCTCTCCCTGTCTCAAAAATAAATAAAACGTTAAAAAAATTTTTTTTTTTAAGATATCTCAAAGTCATTTGTGATCCTTATTTTGATCCTTGTCAAGATAAGAGTTATTTTTTTTTTTTTTGTTTTTTTCATAATCTTTTTATAATACAGTCTTAACTTGTATTGTTTAGGGAGGTACGACTTGGGAGAAATGGGGTAGAAGAAATCAAACAACATCCTTTCTTTAAGAATGATCAGTGGAATTGGGATAACATAAGAGAGAGTAAGTCAGTAACTTTAAATATTTCCATTCCATCACATTTTAAATCTCAAAAATTGATTCCTCTTTTGAATTAATAAGCATGTTTGATATTCTTAATGATACTACTTTTAAATTGGGAGGTTTCATTTCAAATTTGTTCTGTGGCAATATTCATAACTAAATTAATGTTCCTCAATATCTTAAACTAATTTGTATTTATTAGCAATATTTCTTAATACTTTTATAATAGATTTCTTAATTTGGCATATTTTTTATGAATCAAAATAACTTTCAGAATCAGGGAAATAGCCTTGAATTTGAATGAGTTTGAATTAATAAATCACTATATGGAGAGCATATTTTGATGAATACTAGAATAAGCATAGTAATTCATTTTAACTTTATATATATTTGACATTAATTCATTTTAAGAGTAAGAAGTATTTTACTTACAGAGTATAAAAAGCCGAAGACTGAAGAATGTATGTGCAAGTTACTGCTGCTTTCAATTTTAGTACCTATAATAATACCATATTCCTCTCCTTGTTTAGTAGATTTATCTATAGATAAAGCTGATCTGATATAGTAATAAATAGTTAATAAGGTTTTCATTTTTTGAAATGATAAAATGTAAACCATGTCACCAAAATTTTCTATGGTAAATCATAATGTTATTGATTAGTTATATATTATTAATATATCATGTGCTGGTATCACACAATCACATATTGTAATTGATATAAAAATCTGGGTGGCTAGTGTATATTTGGATTATGCATAAAACAATTCATTTCTTTTCTTCTAACAGCGGCAGCTCCTGTAGTACCTGAACTCAGCAGTGACATAGACAGCAGCAACTTTGATGACATCGAAGATGATAAAGGAGATGTAGAAACCTTCCCAATTCCTAAAGCTTTTGTGGGAAATCAGCTGCCTTTTATAGGATTTACCTACTATAGAGAAAATTTGTATGTGATTTGTTTGTTACATTTTTATTGCTTTCAAGATTGTGCTATAAGAGTTGTCTTACTGTGATACTCTGGACTATAGAAGATAAAGTGCTCATTTGTTTTAAACTGAGTTTTTCAAAAGGACTATCAAAAGTTACTTTTCATTTAATTCCATTATTTCTGAATGTTGTATTCAGTTACAAATGAATGCAAGGCACTGTTCTGTATTCTTTGGGGGATATAGACTAAGACCAAATACGTACTTTTGAAGGAACTTATCAACTGATGAGGGATGTAAGAGAATAATATAGTCGTAATGAAGGGTAGAATGTGATATTTGCCTTATGAAAGGTACTGGGCCACCTGGGTGGCTCAGTCGGTTCAGCGTCTGACTTTGGCTCAGGTCATGATTTCATAGTTTGTGAGTTCGAGCCCAATCAGGCTTGCTGCTGTCACACAGAGCCAGCTTCGGATCTTCTGTCCCCCGCCCCCCGCCCCCCGCTGTGCCTGCTGCTCCCCTGCTCTCTCTCCCTCTCTCTCATAAATAAATCTTGGGGCACCTGGGTTGCTCAGTCAGTTGAGCATCCAGCTTCAGCTCAGGCCATGATCTCACAGTTTGTGAGTTTGAGCCCTTCATTGGGCTCTCTGGTGTCAGCACAGAACCTGCTTCACTTCAAATCCTCTGTACCCCTTTCTCTCTCTGCCCCTCCCCAGCTCACGCTCGCTCTCTCAAAAAAAAACAAAAAAAAAAAAAACCATTAAAAAATACATACATTTAAAAAAGGAAAAAAAGAAAGGCACCAAAATATCTGAGGTGGTTCAAATAGAATGGTTCTGAAGAAAAATAAAAGTCACATCTTTGGGGTGAGGGTACGAAGTCAGGTAAGACCTCAGGGAAGGGGTGGCGTTTGTAAAAACAAGAAAGGGTTTTGAGTGGCCGAGATGTGGGGAGGTTAGGTGACAGTTGTGGGCAGGTGAACCATGGAAGCCAAAGTGTGGCGTGTTAGCACGCGTTGGGACAGAGTAGTGTGGTCCTAGGGCTCAAACACAAAGTGCTTATTGCTGTATTTTGATCATTTGGAAGACCTAATGAGATTGCGAGTGTTTTGCCTACAATCTCTCCTTGTAGCACAGAGCCTGGCACAAGACCAGTAAATACTGATTGACTGCAGTGAGTATTGGGTGTAAAGATTAAAAACTGTTGGAGTTAAGCAGCAGGTGATTATTGTGTGCTATACTGAGGGACTTTTGACTTTGACAGGTAGCGAGGCATTAAAGACACTGGAGAAACATATTTGAGAAACTTGGTACTTCCATGTATGGAATGGTAGGGGTGACCAACCATTATGGTTTGCCCAGGACCGAGGGGCTTCCTGGGATGTGGCCAGGGACTTTCATGCTGAAACTGAGAAAATTCTAGGTAGACCAGGATGAGTTGGACACCCTGCCAACGGTAGTACTCTCAAAACTCTTGTCATGCTCACCGAGATGAGGATATGAGTGCCTGGAGAAACCCAAGCATATTTATAGGCAGTGAGGAAGGACCCAGTTAAAGTGAGATACTGATATTTAAATAGAAGTGATGACTTATGTATTAAGACCTGGGAATCAAGAGATGTTATCTTTGAAAAGGAGGAGAGGGGTCTCTTTTCTAGAAGATATCTAGGTAAGATAGTTCTAGGAACTCAAAATGAGATGAAGAGGGGGAAGGTATAGGCCATATAGTGACTCCAGTCTCAACAATATTAAAGACTAGAACATCAGATAAGAGTGGGGGGCAGAACAAGTGCAGCATTTTAAATTATTGAGAATGATACAAATGTCTAAAGGGGGAAAACAGTGCTTCATTTAAAATATGTTGAAGTAAAAAAGAGAAATCTTTGTGGTTGGAGTTTAATTATGAGAATAATTTGGGGATATTAGAAAATGGATTAAAATGACATGCAAAGAATTTATCTCCTGTCTTTCCCTCTAGGTTATTAAGTGACTCTCCATCTTGCAGAGAAAATGATTCAATACAGTCAAGGAAAAATGAAGTATGTATAAATTTTTACTATTTAGTCACATGTTCGAGTAATTTAGTAATATCCATGTGTTTAAAAAGTTCATTTGATGCTACTTTTTGAACCATTTTCTGGTGTTCTTTGTTGTAATACAGTTCACAAAACATTGAGATGATGGATTTATTTGACAGGTACTATTGTGGAAGATAGGTGGCTAGTAAAAAGATGAATTAAACATAGCTTTTAGGCATAGTTTTAATAGCAAAAAAGTGACAGGTTTATAAACATCTACAATCTCAGAAAATTTTATAATCTTAGTACTCTAAAAGAATATAGATAATAAGCTATCAGGGTACAGAAATTGTGGAGAAATTAATATTTTGAGTGGGAATGAATTCAAACAAAGGTTAATTTTATCAAACTAACAATATTTTGCGGCCTCTATAATTTGTAACCATACACAAAAGTAAACCGTGCGCACGCATACACGTTAATGAGGATGCTAACATTTTCTCCTTAAAATTTATAGAAAGTAAAAAGATTGATTAGATAATTTTGGCGTGATTTATTTTAGGAATTTTATAAAGCATGCATACATTTTAAATTTCCTTTTTGTTTTGTTTTAAATAGGAAAGCCAAGAGGTATGTTGATGTCACTTATGTTGAAAAACTGAGAAAAACACATCCCTCTGACAATGTTTTGATAGAGCCATTTTCCACCTAGCATTTGGAGTGCTACATCTACTTAAGAGAGAAGTTTCCAGCCTTGTTTCTACCAAGTATTTCTTTTATTATTGCCCCTATGGCTTTATTGTTTAAGTATCTATTATGTAATTTTCTTATTTTTATTTGTTAAGGATATATAACTGATAGTAAGAATTTTGAATGAACAAGTGAAAACAAGCGTGATCAAATTATACTAATGTAATAATAGCCAAAAGTAGTTAAACATGACTTGTTCATTGGCCTGTGTGTTCTTATTAGGGAAAAATGATAGTTTTGCTTAAGATGTATAAAATATTTAAGAAACCATGAGTTTCTTAAAGAAACCTAATCACTAGAAAGAATATTGGCCTTGGAATCTAATAGACTTGGATTGATTTTTGGCACAGCCACTTATTAGCTAAGCCATCTAGAGAGTTACTCACCTTTTTTGAGTTTCAGTTTCTTTATTGAGTACATACAACACTACCTACCACCTTTTTAGGGTTGTTGTTAGGGTTGATGAGACAGTATTTGTAAAGTGCCTAACATGGTACCTAAGGCATAAAAGGCACTCAAAAAGTTGAGCCCTTTATGAAGGTAATGATGCTCCAAAAATGGATTATTTAGTACGTAATATAATTGCAGTTGGTTTAAAGATCAACATATCTGGCCTAGAAGAAGATGTAAAGCATGGCAAGGAAATGACTTATAATCAATTAGCCATCATTCCTGGAAGACTTACTGACCGTAACTCCTTATAGTAGTGTTCCTGGCACTGTGTAGAAATTCTCATTTTTAAGAGAAGTAAATTCTCATTTTTAAGAGAAGTAATGTATTTTTGAGCAAGTGCAGTTAAATATTCCAAATATTTGTTTCAGATATAGACCTTTTCATCTTGTAAGTACACTGTGTGACAGTATTTTTACATAAATAATCTGCAGAAGAACAGTGGAGCATATCAGAGGGTCTCCTTTATTCATAATGAATGAGAGACTTGGCGTCATAGAAGAATTCTGCCAAGATTAGAGCGTCTCACTCGTATATTTACGTCATGTTTACATACATAGAAAGCAAGAGATGGAGAATTTTTTCCTTATGTTGGTAAAAGCCACATTAAGAAGGTACAAAAACTGTACCATTATAAAGGATCTTATATGAAGCTTACAAAACAGCTTATCCTTGTCTTTAAGCCTCTCATATTTTAAATGTGACCAAAATTTATAATTATAGTTTCTTGTTTCCGGACAGATTCAGAAAAAACTATACACGTTAGAAGAACACCTTAGCACTGAGATACAAGCCAAAGAAGAATTAGAGCAGAAGTGCAAGTATGTTGTTTAGATGACGAAATGTTGTCTTTTAAAATTTAAGTTCAAACGTTTTACCAAAAAGGAAGAGTTATAAAGTAATCATATGATCATCTTGAATTTATACTAAGTAAATGTTTTTATTGTAAATCACTGTTTCTTTTGAAATCCTTTAGATCTGTTAATACTCGCCTTGAGAAGGTAGCAAAGGAGCTAGAAGAGGAGGTAAAGTTGCTGTGTGCTTTTCATTAATATTTTTGTTTGCTACAAGTTGTGATGCCTGCCTTCCCTGGAGAGAGTTGTCTGAGAACCATATTAACACCCATCTTGATACACAGTAAGACCCACCTTATGTTGCACTGGCGAACAGGTTACAGGATAACCTTGGTGATAAGCCTCATTTTGTTATGGGTGTGCAAACTTGAGTGAATTTAGAATGTGTAGATATTTCACGTAAACAAATTTGCATTTGTGTCAATTACTTGGCTTAACAACAGAAAGTGACCATTGTTTCTTCTTTTAAATTTCTGTTCCTAACATTTCAGATCCATAGTTTATATTAAGTGAAGATGGTTCAGTGGTAATGGAAGTTACGGAAAGTTTGACTTTCAGTAGTAAACCATTAACAGTATGGTCTTAATAATTTAAGAGAGGTGTGCTATTTTGAAAGTAATGGAAAACGTTATTGTAAGTTTTAACAAAACAGCAGTTACAGCCTTTTTTAAAGTTCTTTTTTATCTGCTTGAAATACTAAAATAGTGTTTTCATTTGATTTTTATGCATACTTTCCTTTGATAGTAACTTTAAGCATTATTTCAGATTACCTTAAGGAAAAATGTGGAATCAGCATTAAGACAATTAGAAAGAGAAAAGGCACTTCTTCAGCACAAAAATGCAGAATATCAGCGGAAAGCTGATCATGAAGCAGACAAGAAACGAAATTTGGAAAACGATGGTTTGTGGTGTAGAATATTAAATACTTACCAAGAAAATAATTAAATGTGTATGTACGTGTGTGTTGTCGAAGCTTCCCACTGAAATGCTTTTTTTTTTTATCACAGTTAACAGTTTAAAGGATCAACTTGAAGATTTGAAAAAAAGGAATCAGAACTCTCAAATATCCACTGAGAAAGTAAATCAACTCCAGAGACAAGTAGGTCAATCTCCATTTGTAATAGGATATTGAATTTTCTTGATGATAACTTACTAATACTAATTTTAATTGGGAATGTTACAGAAAGGCCTTTGCCTCTGATTTTAAAGGGAAATCATTAGGAAACTATTTTTAGGTTTGTTTCTTACTTTAGTTTGTAACACGCTGATAAACAGAAGTATTTTCATTATATACACTCGTGTTTGTTGTTGTCTGTTTGATTTTGAATGGAATAACAGCTGGATGAAACCAATGCTTTGCTGAGAACAGAATCTGATACTGCAGCCCGGTTAAGAAAAACCCAGGCAGAAAGTACAAAACAGATTCAGCAGCTGGAATCTAACAATAGAGATCTTCAAGATAAAAATTGTCTGCTGGAGACTGCCAAGTTAAAACTTGAAAAGGAATTTATCAATCTTCAGTCAGTTCTAGAATCTGAAAGGAGGGACCGAACCCACGGATCAGAGATAATTAATGACTTACAAGGTATTGTAAAGTAGAGATTGCACTTGAATTCATCCTGATGATTTATATTTTGGAAATAACTTTAGATGATGGATGTATGTGCTGGAATAGCACATTTCTGAATATACTACTCTGTTATGTGAAGCATAATATATGGAATGCATTGATAGAAAATTTTATGAATAGAAGGTTTGCTTTCAAATAGTGTGAAATATTTTAAATTATCAAAAACCACCTCCCAAAGTGACGGTTTGGGTTCCAGTTGACTTAGCCATAAAGCACTCTACCAACAATTATAAAACTTCTCAAAATTTTTTATTCTTAATTTAACATATATATACTTTGTGGGCTTATTGTTTTTAAAATGTTGCAATTTTAGGTAGAATATCTGGCCTAGAAGAAGACTTAAAGAATGGCAAAATCTTATTAGCAAAAGTAGAGATGGAGAAGAGACAACTACAGGAGAGATTTACTGATTTGGAAAAGGTAAAACATGTTCAGCTTTATATTTTGTAGGAAAATGACAAAGAGTTTTAGATTGGAAAACTTAACTCTAAAATAAGGGGTATCGGTATGGTTTCAGTGGATGTTTCTCCCTAGGGACCCAAGGAAAACTTAGATTTTGACTACAACGTATCTTTATTTATTTTATTTTTTTTTTTCAACGTGTATTTATTTTTGGGACAGAGAGAGACAGAGCATGAACGGGGGAGGGGCAGAGAGAGAGGGAGACACAGAATCGGAAACAGGCTCCAGGCTCTGAGCCATCAGCCCAGAGCCTGACGCGGGGCTCGAACTCACGGACCGCGAGATCGTGACCTGGCTGAAGCCGGACGCTCAACCGACTGCGCCACCCAGGCGCCCCTACAACGTATCTTTAAAATGATAGAAAGTTACAATGGCTTTTGGCATTGAAAAGTTTTTCTTTAAAACTTCTGTAAGCCAGGGATGATTTTTAGGCTGTGTGCAGTTAAGGTGTTATTTTTGTTCACTTGTCCATTCTTTCAAGTATTTAATGTATCATCTGTGGTAGAAATATCAGGATGCAGTCTTTGCTTGCCTTTAACAGTCCCACAGTGGGGCCTCCTGGCTGTCTCAGACGGTAGAGCATGTGACTCTTGATCTCTAGGTCATGAGTTCAAGCCCCCACGTTGGACGTGGAGCCTACTTAAAAAAATAATAAATTAAAAAAAAATACAATCTAAGGAGTAGTACCTAAAGTCACTAATAAAGTACACAGATAATTCTAACACAGCGTGATAAACAGACCACTCGAAGAGTGGACAGGGTATATTGGACACACAGGACGAAGCCCTAATCTGACAGGGCAGGATTGGGTGGCAGGGTAAAGGCACATTCTGAGTTGGGCAGGAGCAGAAGTATAAGATGGGAAATAGAAAAGGCATAGCTGGTTTATTTAACGCTAACTGCTCAATTGTTCTGGAGTATAGAGCAGGGGTCAACAGATTTTAATCTTTTAAGCAAAAGACAATGAATATTTTAGGCTTTGAGGACCATATAATCTGTTGCAACTCAGCTCTGCTCCAATACGTAAAGGAATGGGTGTAGCTGTGTTCCAGTGAAATTTTATAGAAATGGACATCAGGCCAAAATGCACCTGAAGACTGCAGTGTGGTTCTCATGTCAAGTGTGAGGAATTCACTGACCAGAATGAGCTACAGCCCTAGGCATGAGCTAGATCATGTGAGAGTTTGAATATTCTGTTAAACTTAATTTCTCTAGGCAACGGACCCAGCCACTGAAGGGCTTTAAATTAGATGCTCTTTTTAGACATACATTTAAGATAGATCGTTGTGTTCCATGTGTGGAGAATAAATTTGAGGAGGACAAGATAAGAAGGGGGGAGACGAGTCAGAGACGTTTTCAGTAATTCAGATGATGGAGACTTAACTGGTACGGTGGTTAAAAGGATGGAAAATGGGGGTGAATCTGAGAAATATCTGCAGGTAGAATATTTGGTAGCACTTAGTGATGGCTCAGATAAGGCATATGTGGGGTATTTAAGGAGGAGTTCTAGGCTCTTACATGGTGACAAGATAAATAATGGTAACAGTAATTCATAAAGAATAAAGGGGAGAAAAGAATGAAGGGAAATAGCTCTTTTAGAAGAAATGATGACAAAATCTATTTTAGTCCTAAGTTTGAGGTGCCTTAGGATGTTCGTAAAGGAGTAAACTATGTTGAAGCTAGAAATGTTTGAGAGTCATTGGTACAGAAGTAGCTGAAGCTGTGTGAATGCAAGAGCCTATCTCGGAAAAGATTGTTTAGAGCAATGGTTTTTCAGGGCAGAGTTGATTCCTCTGTTGTTGGATTGAAAAACCTCATTTTTAGGCGCTCCTGGGTGGCTCAGTTGGTTAAGCATCTGACTCTTGATTTTGGCTCAAGTCATGATCTCAACAGTTAGTGAGCTCAAGCCCCGCCTTGGGCTCTGCCTGACTTGGTTTGTGAGACGGGCCTGCTTGGGATTTTCATTCTCCTCTTTCTCCCCTCCCTCTTTCTCCCTCTCTCCTTTTTTTTTCTCCTCTCCTCCTTTTTTTTTTTCCTCTCCCTCTTTTTTTTTTTTCTCCTCTTTTTTTTTTCCTCCTCTTTTTTTTTTCTCTCCTCTCCTTTTTTTTTTCTCCTCTCTTTTTTTTTCTCCTCCCTCCTCTCTTTCTCTCCTCTTTTTTTTCCTCCTCCTCCCTTTTTTTTTTTTTTTTTTTTTCTGCTCCTCTCCTCTCCCCTCCCCTCCCACTTTTCTGTTCTCCTTCAAAGAGTTCACTTGCTGTCTCTCTCAAAATAAACTTAAAAAAAGAAAAAAATCATTTTCAGTATTAAGGATTTGTTTGAAAAGCAAAAGAAATATTTACATATATGATACAAACTATAGAAACAAAGAATTAGAAAATCTTTTGAGGATATAGAGAAAATAGATTGACTTCTATTATTGAAGTGTCCCAACTTAAAACAAGTCTCCTATGTGGAATATCAGGGTAAATGGTAGAGGATCCTGAAAATTTGTCGTCAGGTACAGCAAAGGGAAATGTTAGATAGGTTTTAAAGGTGAGAAATAATGATACAGAAGCTTGAAGTGGCTGAAGAACGCCGCCTCCAGCGAAGACCAGCATTTAAGGAATAGCTGGGGGGAAAGTTCATAGGTGACAGAAAAGATGAGAACAGGAAGCGGGGAGCCAAGGGAGTGCACTCAGGTGTGTCAGGGAAATAGTTTCAGGGCAACAGTGAGTCAAAATGGGGTAACTACTGAAAAGCGTTTGTCGAATCTGGTGGTGAGAATATCGTGTGTTACTTCATTGAGATCACACGCTCTCAGTGCAGATCTCCAAACGGTAGCGTGGAGGGATGGGCCGTAGGTTCAGCAGGAGGTGAACAGGTGGATTCCGTGGATCATTGTTACAAGAAGTTTGAGTGAAGGGGGGAGGGAAAGTATTGAACATTCTTAGCTTGTAAAAAACAGCTTTATAAGTTTTTGAAATTGTGAGCCAGTCTTTTTTGTTGATCGCTGCTATTCTGAATCTTTAATAGGAAAAGAACAACATGGAAATAGATATGACATACCAACTAAAAGTTATACAGCAGAGCTTAGAACAAGAAGAAGCTGAGCATAAGGCTACAAAAGCACGGCTGGCAGATAAAAATAAAATTTATGAATCCATTGAAGAAGCAAAATCAGAAGCCATGAAAGGTATGCCTTTCTTCTAAGAGGGTTTTTCTGCAGCATTTTCCTAAGAATGGATTCTGTAGTCAACTCTTGATTTTGAAAAATATTTTTTTATATTTTATTGTCAAATATTGAGAACTGGAAAGAAAAACATTAGGGAAGCTTTACATACATATCATTTTTTCTCTTTATGGCAATGATCATTTCTAAGATGTAAGTCCCAAATACCGAGTTATTCAACCAAATATAAGGATCAGAGAGAAATGAATATTTCAGTGATAGCAGAAGTAACAGGCATAAAGAGCATGAGGTTCTAGATGTATCTTTTCAGATTTGGGGGGATTTGCTATTTTTGTAATGTTTAGTTTGACACTTACCAGTTTGTATAACAAAATTGTTGCCAGTTTATGCAAAATAAGTATTTTGGAAATAGTAGTTGACCTAACTAGAATACAAGCTCATTGAATATTTTGAACTCTGTCATGATGAAGATACTAGCTAGATCTGGTCAAAGTCATCCACTACTAATGAATATAGGGTAAAATAACAGAGTTAACTTTTCCACAAACCAGCCTGTATCTTGGAATTGTCTTAGGATAATTTCTTGTTTTCCTAACTGACTGTTCATAATTACGAAGGATTTGAAATTCCAAAGGAAATTAATAAAAGATCCTCGCGAAAGATTCATAGAACTCGTAAGCAGAAATTTTATTTTAAATTGAAGCATAACATTTATGAATAATTTGGAAAAAAATAGCCTTTTAATTAATGAATGAAATTTAAATTGGAGCTTTCTTGGTTAAAATCAGTTTAGTTTAAGGCAGTAATTAAGGATGTTAAGAGATGAAATGAGTGCTTTATTTAGAAAAATCTAATTACAAGAGTGGAAATTAGGGGGCCATGTTTCCCTGTCAGGGGCCTAGAAGATAGAGTTGAATTTCTTTTGAGGTGTAATTCAAGTGCAGTCACATTGCACTTCTCGCATTTGTAATACACACATGTAACCACCACTCAAAACAAGTCATAGAATCTGTGTTTTCATCACCTACTCAGTAAGTTCACTTATGCCCCTGTCTATTCTCTGTGCCCACATTAGAGTGGTTGTTTTTTTAAGTGAGTATATCTGTCCATGTGTTATCTCTGAACTGATAAAAATGAACCAATTCAGAGTAATAGTACCTACCATTTTTTTTTTTTTTCAAACTCCTTTTTAGAATACTAACATAAGATGTATGGTGACTTTCGTAGTTTATAGGAGTACACAAAACTTAAATGTTGCTGGTGCTCAGACCGGCTCTAATAGCCTTTGGCTTTTCCACTGCCATTCCGTAGCTTCCTTTGATTAAGACTATGGCTTACTAATGAAAACTAGTCATGTGACCTTGTCTAGTTACTTAACCTTTTTTGTGCCTTGTTTCTTCTTAGACAAAGTTTTAGGTTGTTTTGAAGACCAAGTGCAATGACACGTGAAAATGCTTAGAAATATTAGCTGTTATTAGTAGAATGTGAAGAATAGTTTTGTTTTTTCCACACTTTTGAAGGCAATTCATTAAAAAGTGAAAATTCATAGGCTTAATTTTCCCTTATATAACTTTGTAATATGATAATTCAATATCGAGCATTAGGTATGAAACAGCAGAGGAGCCCGATTGGATTTGAAAAGATTTTCTAATCAGTACATCAAAAGGTAATCCTTTAATGGTAATAACTGGCATTTAATATGAAATCACTTGTTTAGACATAAACTTTGCCTGTTCGTCACTTTTAAAAGCCTTTTCTGATTAATAAAACAAATTAAAAGTTCATTACAAATCATTTAGAAAATTCAGGAAAGTATAAAGAAGTAAGTAAAGATTAACCACAATTTTACTAATCAGGATGCTATTTTGTATATTTTCTGAAATTTTTATACCCTTTTTGCTTTTTTTCTTTGAAAATAATACTGTGAACGTTCTCTTTAGGTCTTTTTAACATTGTCCTTAAATACTGAGCACTTATCAAATTCTTCTTGTATGCCAGCCAGCTGTTAAGTGCCACACAGATAGTAACTAAGAATCTTCGTAACATCCCTGTAAGGGAGAACAGGGACTGGTATCCTTCTACAGATGGGGAAATTGAGCCCCAGAGAGCCTAACTAACGTGCCCTTGTAAATAATTAGGATGTGTCAGAGACAGGGTTTAACCTTAGGAACTTTGGTCCCAGCGGCTTGTCCTTTGCCATTGCCCCAGAGCATGATTGTCCTTCTCTGCATAGTAATATGCTAACATGGAAAGAGCCATAGACGTCATAGAATCTACCCGGGATGTTTTAGTGTAAGAAAAGTTAACACCAAGAGGCACAGGGCAGCAGGAAAATAAAGTACGTCTTTATTAAAAAGATGTAAGCCTCTTTTAGAATCATAAGTGAAGGCACAATTTTACTCCAGTTAGAATATATGTAATATTGCAGAGTGGTCGATTTTTCTGGACACTGGAAATCAAACTCCTGATTTCTAAGCGTGAAACTGTTGGCATTTCAAGCACATTAGGGAGAGTGATGAAAATATTAAATTGGAAATTAAAAAAAATGTTTTTAAGGCAGCATCATTGACAGCAGTTTTCATAGCATGGTGTCACGTATTCGATACGCTTTTTTGGTATGTGGATGCACAACTGTGTCCATTTTTGTGGCAATAGAAATGGAGAAAAACCTCTCAGAGGAAAGGACGTTAAAGCAGAAGGTGGAAAACCTGTTGCTGGAAGCTGAGAAGAGATGCTCTATATTAGACTGTGACCTCAAACAGTCACAGCAGAAAATAAATGAACTCCTTAAGCAGAAAGATGTGCTAAACGAAGATGTGAGTATGAAGTTTACTAATAAGTAATAATAAACTATGTAATGAGTTCATAGTCCACGTAGGTTTATCCATAATGTTGGTTTCATAATTAAAATTTTTTTCTTATAATCTGCAACCTTTAATTTTACTGAATTTGGATGATATGCTAAATGAATCGTAATTTAAAATTTTTAAGTTATTTTTACCCTAAAGACCATATTTTATTTTAAAAAGTACGACAACAGAAATACAAAAAATATTTTACTGTGAAGTGAATTAGCTGCCTAAGGACAAAAATCTGTTTTGCATGATCATATTTGCTGCAAGCTTCATTGATAAGAAAAATCAAAATCAAGGGGTGCCTGGGTGGCTCAGTCGGCTAAGCGTCTGACTTCAGCTCAGGTCATGATCTTGTAGTTCATGATTTCTCATTCTCATTCTCACTCTCACTCTCACTCTCACACTCTCATTCTCTGTCTCTCTCAAAATAAATAAACATTAAAAAAATAAATCAAAGTCAAAGGAATTTATTTATATACCAAGTATACAATTTATTTTTTAGATCAGAAACTTGACATTAAAAATAGAGCAAGAAACTCAAAAGCGCTGCCTTACACAAAATGACTTGAAGATGCAAACACAGCAAGTTAACACACTAAAAATGTCAGAAAAGCAGTTAAAACAGGAGAATAATCATCTCATGGAAATGAAAATGAGCTTGGAAAAGCAGAATGCTGAACTTCGAAAGTAAGTAAATTGTTTGAGACAAAGTTTTGTTCATATATATGAGTATCCACATGTAAATTACCTTAATTTTGGTTTACCTGGGGGTTTTCTTTTGATCATTTGCTTGACCACATTTGCTCTCTTTTTCTGTTTAAGTAATGTGTTGAGTGCCGCTGTTATCCCTCGAGATGATATTTGCTTCCCCAACGATTTTTTTTACTACTTCTACCTATTGCCGCCTCTGTAAATGAATAACCAAGTATCACCAGGCATTTGAGGAAAGTGTTCAGTACTAAAGAGAAAGACTGTGATAAAGAAAAAGGAAACGTACCCCCAGATGAGGAATATATTAAGGAAAGAAGAGGAAAGCACAAACAAATAAAAAAAGCCTATTAGTAATAATTAGTATTGATCAAAACTTCTAGGAGATAGTACTTCCGTTAAACAAGAAGCCGGCATAAAGCAAAAAGGGCAGCCAGAATGAGAACGAGCTGTTAAAGATGAAAAATGACCGCATATACATTTATTAGGATGGCTTAAAGAAAAATTCAAAGAAATTTCATCGACTGTGGAAGAAGAGGGCATGACGTAGAAGGTGTGTGGCCCAGGGGTTCTAGCCCCAGACAGAGAAGTCTAGAGAAGGAAGGAAGAGGAGGAAGTTGTTAGAGAAATAATGGAAAACAGGTTTCCCGTGGCGGGAAGAGAAGTCGTCAGATTGAAAGGACTCAACCGAAAATAAGTGAAGAAAAGACCCGCATTTGGACGTGTTCTCGTCAAATTTCAAAAACAAGAGAGAGGGTGGGTGGGAGTATTGCGGTTCTCATCCCGGACTGGGGAGGCTGTGGTTTGTGGTTGATGGAGCAGGAAGTGAGGCTTGGCTGTATGGCTGAGGCCAGTGACACGGCTGTGTTAGGAGAGCTGGGGAGAGGTGAGGGATAGGAAGAGCTAACTCCCCACTCTGGCAGCAGGGAACTAGTAAAGAAGAGTTTAAATTTGTGTCAAGAAATAAGCTGAGATGTGGACGTAGTTACCAAAAGAACAAAACAGAATTGAAACGAAGTGAATTCCTCCAGGGGAGTGAATTGAGGGTGTGAAGACGTGTGGAAAGAGAGACCGCTACCTTTCTGGCCGATTTTTTTCTGTGCCATTCTGTACTTTTTCATTGTAACCATGTACGTATAATGGGTTATTTTTTTGAAAAGTACTTGTCTTAAATACCTAATAAATGTTAGGTGTTTAAAGTTACACGTAAGTGGATGATGGCAGCTCTTCGAGGATATTAAAATTATACTGAGGTTTGCTGCAAATGGGCTTAGCCGGTGATGATGAGATCATTCCAAAAATTGACTTTTTATATAGTATTAATCAGCATCTTTCCCATTTTTGACTCAGAAAAATTAGAATCCTCGCTTTTAATAGCAGGCACCTCAATAGTAAAATACAGATATAACACATAAAGTGACAATGAGTGATAACTTTCTTTATGTGGAGGTTTTAAGAGCCAGTAAGTAAACAAAGTGACCAAACTACGTTAAATGAGAATAAGAATAAAAGCCTTAAGTAACACACAGATTGAAAACAGTATGATTAAATCATTTGGTCTGAGTCTTTCTTGCTGTGTATATTTTTAAATATCTAGGTGGTATTTAAATGTCTTTTCCCTATAAAATACTCAGACTAAACAGTAAATGTTCCCCTTAATGACTGCAGACGTAGTTCATCTCGCCAGAAAGAATCTACTGTGGTAGTTCGTTATTTACTCTTCTGTATCTGTACAGTGTATGTAGGGTTGAGTTTTTTGTAGATTTTGGAGCATTTTTGTTTTCTAATTGTATCATATATGTGGTGTTCTTCTCCAATTTGCCTTTTTCCCCTTAGCTTAGACTTGGAATAATTGTGATTTTTATGTTTTCTTAGTAACCCTAGGATTGGGGGTGCCTGGGTGGCTCAGTCGATTAAGCCTCCATCTTCAGCTCAAGTCATGATTTCACAGTTTGTGGGTTTCGAGCCCCACATTGGGTTTTCTGCTGTTAGCACAGAGCCCACTTATGGTCTCCCTCTCTCCCTGCCCCTCCCCTACTTGCACGTGCGCGCTCTCTCTCTCTCTCTCTCTCTCAGAAATAAATAAACATTAAAAAAAAAAACAACTCCAGAATTTATTTCAACACAACCTCTTAAATGGGTTGTGAGGCTCACTTTTTATTTTACGTATTTTTTATTTAATTTTATTTCTTTATTGAAGATATATGCATACATATATGTAATGCATACAGAAAGAATACACAAATGATATGTAGAGCTTCGTGAATTTTTACAAAATGTACAGATCTGTGCAATTTGAACATCTGTGTTTAAACATAAAAGCTAGGGGCACCTGGGTGGCTCAGTTGGATAAGCATCCAGCTTCGTCTCAGGTCCTGATCTCATGGTTCATGGGTTCGAGCCCCTCGTCGAGCTCTGTGCTGACAGCTCAGCCCGGATCCTGCTTCCGATTCTGTGTCTCCTCTTCTGTCTCTGTCTGCCCCTCTCCTGCTGGTATTCTGTCTCTCTCTCTCAAAAACAAATAAACACTAAAAAAAAAATTTTTTTTTTTTTTAATAAAATAAACATAAAAACTTGTGTGTCTTTCCTCCCCTCTGGCCCCTTCTCAGTTATTTCTTCACTCATCCTAAGATGACCAATTCTCAGGTCCTCTTTTAATTCTACTAGTTGGGCAGAAATGGCTGATCACAGTGAATGTGTGAGAATATGTAATTTAGTATTACTGTTCTAATATATCACTATTTGGCCTCAGCAACCCCTTACACTCTTAAAAATTATGAAGGGCCCCCCAAAATTTTTGTTTATGTGAGTTATATCTCATGATATTTTTTGTGTTAGAAATCAAAACAGAGAAAATTTTATTTGTTTAATTTACTTACTTTAAATGTTTATTTTGAGAGAGCGTGGGAGCACAAATGGCAGAGAGAGAGAGAATCCCAAGCAGACTTGTGCTATCGGCGCAGGGCCCAATGCAGGCTCGAATCTGTGAACCGTGAGATCGTGACCTGAGCTAAAACCAAGGGTTGTATGCTCGACCGACTGAGCCCCAAAACTGAGAAAATTTTAAAACACAAGAGCATACAAACATATTTCATTAGCTGTTGGAATGATGACATCATATGTTATAGAACTTTAAAAAAAAGTCTATACTTACTAGTGAGAGAATGAGAATTTGAAAAAAAAAAACAAAAAAACCCACCACACTGGTGATCAGTATTACGAAAATAATTTGACCTCTTGGGACTTCTTTTTTTTAAAGGCTCCAGGGATGCCCAGTGGTTCCCTAGGCCACATTTCAAGAGTTGCTGGTTTAATATATAGGTAGCTTATTTGAACCTTTGCTTTAATGTCCCCACAGAGAACGTCAAGATGCAGACGGGCAAATGAAGGAACTCCAAGATCAGCTTGAAGCAGAGCAGTACTTCTCAGTAAGTTCCGGATACGTTAGTTTGAAAATTGTCATGTTTGTAGAATTAAAAGTTTGCTGCAGAATGAGGAAAACGATTCTTGTCTTTAGGATAGATTCTTCTAGCAAACATCAGACAGATTGGGATAGGATGTTTTGTACCACACAATTCATGTAGAAAAAATAGCTGGGCAAATGACTATTGATAGCTTAACAGAAATCTATTATCATTGCTAGAAAAATAGTTCTAAGCACATCAGTGAAGTTGATTTAAAAAACATTGCTTTTTGAGGAAGAATTTTCATGAAGAAATTGTCATTTTAATGTTCGCATTTTTTAAATCAGTTTTACAATATGAAGTAGTAATGTCACCTTTGTTTTATTTAAGCCAACAAAATTTCCTTGTCTAAATTAGTAGTATACTTCTTTGCCTCTTTAATCCTACCAATCTGTGTCATTTAATGAGAAATTCTGATACCCAGTTGAAAAGCAAGCTTCTTGGGGCGCTCGGATGTCTGAATCCATTGAGCGTCTGACTTTCGGCTCAGGTCACAATCTCACAGTGTGTGAGTTGAAGCCCCACTTCGGGCTCTCTGCTGTCAGCACAGAGCCTGCTTCAGATCCTCTGTCTCCCTTTCTCTCTGCCCCTCCCCCACTCTCTCACACGGACCTGCGTGTGTGCGCACTTTCTCTCTCTCTCCCCCCCCAAAATAAATAATTAATTAAAAAAAATTTAAATCCAGCTTCCAAGTTATTAGCAGAACTTGTATTAGTTACTTGGTTGATTACTAGAAAAGCCCATTAAACTGTTTGCTCGGAGGCCCAACATTACTCAGTGTTCAGGAACATATTTGTGTTCAGCCTGACTTTTTGTGTAGATAGACCTTGAATGTAGAAATAATGTTCCTGCTGATGGGTGATAATGGCAGTGACATGTTTCTTCTGTTCAATTTTGCTGTTTAGACTCTCTATAAAACACAGGTGAGAGAACTTAAAGAAGAATGTGAAGAAAAGACTAAACTTTGTAAAGAATTACAGCAGAAGAAACAGGAATTCGAGGACGAAAGGTACAGACCGAGATTCTTATCTCTTTTGTTGATAACTCGGCCCAACTCTTTTGTCGGGCACTCGGCTCCTAGAACAGTACCTGCTGTGCCCTCAGTAAGAATTTGTCGATGAAGTGTATTAGAAACTTTGACTTCCTAGTGAAAATTGAACATTAAAATTATGTATCATTAAAATGTAGGGACTCCTTGGCTGCTCAACTGGAGATCACCTTGACCAAAGCAGATTCTGAGCAGCTGGCTCGTTCAATTGCTGAAGAGCAATACTCTGATTTGGAAAAAGAGAAAATCATGAAAGAGCTTGAGATCAAAGAGATGATGGCTAGACACAAACAGGAACTCACTGAAAAAGATGCTACAATTGCATCTGTAAGTAAAGTTTTTTAGTCCTTTTTTTGATTTTAATTAAATTACTGTATCACACATGTTACTTAGAAGTGCTAGGAAAGTACTGCAGACAGAAATGAAAAGTTGTGTATTCTGGCTTTGGGACGTTTTATCCAGTTAACCACTAGCTTCTCGGTGTCGTTTGGCAGAAAGAGGCTCAAAAAAAGAACTACTTGCAATGGCTCTGCCTGTTGGTTAATTCGGAGTGAAAGGACTAAAGGGAAAGGGAAAAAGCCAAAGCAGAAAACAGTGTAAACCATTTTTTTCTTGCTAAACAAATCTTAGTTCAAAAGAATCTTGAAACTACCATGAAGGTAGTCATATGTAAGTTGAAAAAAAAATATGAGAATTTCAAGGAGACGGAAAAAAAACATCAAGTAGGTGAATTTGTTTTATCAGTTATCCGGGTCATTAAAATGGCACATTGATTAGAAAGTGTGGCATTGGAGCCAGGGATGCTTATTCCCGTTCAGCGGAAATAAGTAGGGAGGCCAGAAGTAGACTCTCGCACGTAAAGACCTTGGTCTGTGAAAGCAGTGTGGACAGACACATCGGTGGGAAAGGATACAGATGCAATGAAAGGTTTGGGATGACTCTTTTTGTGTGGGAAGGAATGAAGTTAGATCCTTACCTTTTACAACATAACAAGAATAAATTCTAGCTATCTTAAAGATCTAAAGATGAAAAAGAAAAACTTTAAACAGAACAAAATCCAGAACTTACTGTAGCAGAAGACCACAAACTGCAGGGAGAAGACACTTGTAATGTTTTTATTAAATGGGATTTGTATCTAGAACGCGTGTGGCACTCTCGAGCTCAATGAGAAGAAGTTAAACAATCCAAAAGAAAAATTGGCCAAAAGAGAAAACCCTAAAAACATAAGCAGATGCTTAACCTAAATACTCTTTAAGAAAGGCTAGATAAAATAACTTTGAAATACCATTTCCTATTCATTACAATGGCAGAATTCAGTATCTAATTTCAAGTGTTTGAAGGGTGCGTGGGAAATGACATTCTTATTTAAAGCTATGAGGAGTATAGATTTAGTATGGTATAGTATAGTGTATAATGTGGCAATTTAAATATTATTTATTCTAAATATGAAAAATTAAATATTCATATAATCCAAAGAAAGTTGATGTTAAGATAAATATGGTAGAGAAATTCAGGTACAATTTTTATAGCAGCATAAATGTTTGTAATAGCAAGAAATTCAAATGTCTTAGCAGTCAGTCTTCTCAGTAGATGAATGAATGGATAAATGGTATGTGGTAGAAGATGGGACTGCTATATCAGTTAAAATGATTTAATTAGATCTTTATATATCAACAGTTTAATTCTTTTTTTAAGTTTACTTATTTGGAGAGAGAGAAAGTACACATGCTTGAGCAGAACAGAGTGGGGGGCAGAAAGAGAGAGAGAGAATCTCAAGCAGGCTCTGTGCTCTCGGCACAGAGCCCAACACAGGGCTCCATCCCACAAACCACAAGATTATGCCTGAGCTGAAGTCGAAAGTCGGATGCTTAAACGCTGAACCACCCAGGCATCCCAACAATTTAATTCTTAATATGATCTCCAGTGAAAGCAATTACAGAAAGATACAGTGTGATGCTGTTTATGGACAATTTAAAATCACATAAAACCACGCTATATGTTATGTGTTTGTAATAAAAGGATATAATCATTGATGGGAAGGATGAGTATATAATTCACAATAAAATTTCTTTGGGGAAGGAAGAATAGGAATAGGATTTGGAGAGAATAAAAAAGGATGTCAGCTTCTTTAGTAAAATTTTATTTCGTTTTAAAATGTCGTGGAGGAAATACTACAGTTAAAAATTTGTTTATTCTGCATGATGAAATGCAGAGATCTGTTATAGTATTTGTTTGTTTTTAGTTTATTAAATGTTTTTCTCATTAAAAATACCGCTAAGGATTTTTGAGAGAAGGGCAATGTTTTTGCTTCCTGGGGTGCATATGAAGTCTATCACAGTCAGTGAAATTTTCACCAAGGGTGAATTTCGATAAGGTTCCACAAACCCACGAAGCATAGATATAGATGTACTTAGAAAAATAAGAATTTTAGCAACATTCTAGGATACTTTCATTTTGAATTATTGCTTTATAACTTAGATTTTGTAAATTGTGATATGATTTTCTTTCCACTTTCGTTCTTAGCTTGAAGAAACTAACAGGACACTAACTAGTGATGTTGCCAATCTTGCAAATGAGAAAGAAGAATTAAATAACAAATTAAAAGATGCCCAAGAACGTATGTATGAACAAAGAACAAGGTTTATATTTTAAATGTGCCTAATGTTTTGTCAGTTGTTGTAATTATTAATATAATTTTTTGTGTTTTTCCATATTTCAGAGCTATCACGGTTGAAAGATGAGGAGATAAGTGCAGCCGCTATTAAAGCACAATTTGAGAAGCAACTATTAACAGAGAGAACACTGAAAACTCAAGTATGTGTAATAAAGTCTAAATATGATTTTGAATTCTTTCAGTTTCTTCTCTCTTTTACATTTTACTTCCAGCATTACAGATTGGCTGTAGCAGTCATTGAATGAATCAGTATTTGTGAACCAATCACAATTACCTGAATTTTGCCAGATTAGAAGAAGCTAGATGTGGTTATTAACTTTGTCCAATTCAGTGTTTACTTACGGTTTCCTTAATTTTTCCATATGGAATCACACTCCCTCGTAATTTTTTATTGTAATCTGGTAAGTGTTTCTGCTTTTAAGAAACTAGAGAGAGTAAACATTTGAGCATCCTTCTGCCAACATTTATGGTTGTACATGCTGCGTGAATCTTTGTGGGTCCCACATGCTTAGTTCTCTGGTTGAACATACTGTATTTTATTAATGTGATGCCAGTGCAGCATTCTCTTCCTCCAGGATAAAAGTGGATCTGCCTCGTAAAAGTCTCTCTAGGAACTAAAAACTCACAGTAATAGAAAGTGACATTAGGTCAAACCTGATGTACTTTAAACATTTTAAATTATATTTCTTAGAAAACATGAGCGTGAGAAACAAATGTAGGTTGGAGAAGGGTAACGAGTAACGGAGGGTGTGTTACTTAATATAGACAGTGTTTCTCTGTCACCCTGTATGTATAGGGAAGGAGATTATTAGTGGTCACATAACTTGCTATTGGTGAGTTATCAAGAAGCATCGATGTATTTTATTACAAAGTTATGTTTATGTTTTTAAGGCTGTGAACAAGTTGGCCGAGATCATGAATCGAAAAGAACCTGTCAAGCGTGGTAGTGACACTGATGTGCGGAGAAAAGAGAAAGAGAATAGAAAGCTACATATGGAGCTTAAATCTGAACGTGAAAAACTGACCCAGCAGATGATCAAGTATCAGAAAGAACTGAATGAAATGCAGGCTGTAAGAATACTTTCTGAACTCTAGATCGAAGACTTCTTTTTAAGAAGAATTATTTTCTAATGTCTGCACATATTTTATTGGTTATAGGGCATTTCTGTTACTTCATAATTGTTAATTGAATGAAAGGAAATTATGAGGTATATGGCATCAGATTAATTTGATGTAATTTAATTTCTTGTAGCAAATAGCTGAAGAGAGCCAGATTCGAATTGAACTGCAGATGGCCCTGGACAGTAAAGACAGTGACATTGAGCAGCTGCGGTCACAGCTCCAGGCCTTGCATATTGGTCTGGATAGTTCCAGTATAGGCAGTGGACCAGGGGATGCTGAGGCAGATGATGGCTTTCCAGGTATGGATTTCTTTTCAGCTCTTAGGCTATTTTTATTAAACGACTTCGTCTTAAAGATAAAGCAAAGCAATTGATTGTTTTAAGCCCTATGATTGATTCTGCTCTTGAGAAAAATGTTTGTCATTTCTTTAAGAAAAGCCTCCTCCTTGGAGTGGGGATTCAAATGACAGTTTAAACTTACAGTGTTTATTGATTTTTGACAAAAATGTTTGCGAAACAATGCAAAAGAAAATTCCACATATTTGCTTAAGTTAGCTCTTTATGTATTACAGGAAGCTCTCTTTTCAGGTTTTCATTTTATTTTCTCTTAACTTCTTTCTGCATTCTTACTTCCTCTCATGCTGGATGTTTAGTTCATATCACTCAGTCACGCACTATGGAATCCTTGTCATTCACCTACCAACGTTCCTCTACTTCTCTCAATATTGCCACTAAGCCTTCCAGTTCTCATATGCTTCTTGACTCTGATTCTGACTCAGAAGAAGAATCTTTGCCTTACTTACCTATTTCATCGGAACCTGATGGTACAGGTGATATCCTGAAAATCTTTCACCTTTGGGGTTTGTCACCCTCCCCTTAATTTCAGTCCTTCTGCAAAGTTTTTGTAACATTGACTAATTGTCCACTAACCAATTGTTCTGGTCTCCGTTAAAAAGAAAGTGCTGCATGAATAAAGAATTTTTAAAGGTATTGTCACACGGCATTGCTACTATATTCGATAGACTTATTTTGTCAACTTCAGATCATTAAAGAGCGTATGGTTTTACTGTCTGTTTCGTCCATTTTCATCCAACAAGAAATTCTTCCTGAAGTTTCATATCAAGAGTGACGGTACAAAGAAAGCACGTAGACTGTTTGCGAGGATGTATATAGGTTTTCACTGAGTGCTTAGCTAGTCAACATTGTGTTAAGCCTTAAAAGACAGTCTAACCCAGTCTTGGTCCTGAAAGGACTTAGAGTTTAAGTGAAAAACTAGATGGAAAACATAAAATCACTATGTTGAACACAAAGTTAGTATAAGTGCAGGTCTAATGTAAATGCCGTGGGAAATTAGTGTATGAGCAGCTGACTATGAGGTAAAATTTAATCCCTTACTAATTGAATGCAAAGTGAAATAGCTATAGTTTTTTTATATTGTTGCCACATTTCCCAGGTATAAAACAGTATATAATATAAATCATAAGTAACTGTATTGAAGTTTTAGATTTTAGCAGTAAATTTCAGTCTTACTCAAATTATTTGATCATCTGATTAAGTCCCTTAAGTTGGTGTAGGACCACATCCAGACATTTCACATTATGTGGGCTGTTTTTATAAATGTTTATTTATTTGTGAGACAGAGAGTGAGTGTGAGTGGAGATGAGCAGAGAGAGAAGGAGACACAGAATCTGAAGCAGGCTCCAGGCTCTGAGCTGTCAGCACAGAGCCCAATGCGGCTCTTGAACCCACGAACCGCGAGATCATGACCTGAGCCAAAGTCGGACACACAACCGACTAAGCCATCCAGGCGCCCGTATACGGGCTGTTTTTAATGGCAGCATTTCTGTTATAGAGTCTGAAGGTTGTTGATGTAAGAGAGTATAGATAGGTACTGGAGTCAGAGTTGTGTCCTTGTGTGACGCAATTTATGGAAAGCATCTAGCATAGTTCAGTAGGTGATTATTAGAATAACCTCCAAAAATGCTGGTTTGCCCCTAGTTATTTCATTAAATGATACTGATCAAATGCCTTTGAAACAAATTCTAAGGATTCAGGCAGTTTCCTTTGTTGAACTAGAATTTTACCAATTTTGCTGTTTTGGAATTTAGAAATCTTCTGGTTATATTGCTACTTATTAACCACATTTGATCTGTAATTTACACAACTTTATTTAATTTTATTTTAGCCATTTAAAAAATCCATTTTCTCTGAACATATAATTATTAACTTAAAAGATTTTCTCTTCAAAGAAGATATATATGCAGTAAATCTATAATTAGGCCTTCTTCCAAAGGAAAAAATTTCTCATATAATTGTATCAGTGAGAATAGAGAACTGCTTCTCTTTTTTTGCAACTTTTCTGCTGAACTTTGCAGATGCACGAATTTAATCAGCAGGGGGCATTTGACCATATAAACTATAGCATATATAGTTCCAATGTGGTATAACCTGGATTTTGTTTTGCATTTCATAACTTGCTTATACTGATCCTGCATCATTATTACAGCCTAGATAATAATATAATGATAAATTCTGAGGGGCGTATTTGATTTGTTCTATGACTTTTCTATTAAAATGTTATTATAGTTCTCATTTTCTTAGGAGAATTGTTATATTTATCCTCATATCTTGTGCTTATTGATAGAATCAAGACTAGAAGGATGGCTTTCATTGCCTGTGCGAAACAACACTAAGAAATTTGGATGGGTTAAAAAGGTAATTGGTAGTTTTGAATATGGTTCTTTTATTTGGCTTTTGGTTTAGCTCTAGCCATTTTACTTTTGTAGTTGTAAGATACATATAACTAGAACTTTTAGACGCATAAAACTTTGGACTTTGATTTGGAATGATGTGATTTTATGTATCTTTGTGAAAAAAGCCTTTCATCATTAATGTGCTGTTAATAATAAAACAGGTTTTGATGCTAGGAGAACAGAAGCCTATTGACTTCAGTGTTTTGCTATTTCAGTGGGAAAACAACTGTGGTTATGATAGAAAGGCTTATTTATTTCTTTTCTTCTGTTACTATGATTATTGGTATTATGATGTTCATTTCTGGTAAATATCTTAGTCTATTCAGGCTTCTATAACAGAATAGACTGGGTTGTGTATGAACAATAGAACTTTATTTCTCACAGTTCTTGGGGGCTGGAAGTCTCAAGATCAGGATATTTGGGTTCTGGTAAAGGCCCTCTTCTAGGTGCAGACTTCGTGCTATGTTCTCACGTGGTGGAAGGGGCTAGGGATCTCTCTGGAGCCCCTTTTGTAAGGGCACTGACCCCATTCATGAGGGCTCTGCTCTTATGGCCTGTTCACCCTCCAAAGCCCCTTCCATTAGGTGTTAGGGTTTAACATAAAAATTTGGGGGGAACACAGACATTCAGACCATAGCAATAAGGCTACCTGTGCTTATTGAATTTTGAAGCTAAATCAGTCTAAAAAATATTTGAATTAATATCCTTCCCAATTTGCTTATTTAAAAAATATATATGCAAACTATAAATTTGTTGTTATTTTAAGGAAGACCTTTTAAGGATATAATGAGAACTGTTTAGTTATTTAACTTAGGTATTACATGATTTTTGTTGCTGTAGAATTTGTTTTCAAAGAAAATAAATGTGATACATAGATTAACTTTAGTCATTAATTCCTTCTCTCCCTCTTTAACAGTATGTGATTGTAAGCAGTAAGAAGATTCTTTTCTATGACAGTGAACAAGATAAAGAACAATCTAATCCTTACATGGTTTTAGATATAGAGTAAGTGTTTTTATTAGAATATTTAGAAACTTTCTCTTGTAAAGTGTATGAGACAAATGTGACCTTTTTGTCAAGTTAGTGCTATTTATACATAAATATATATAGTATAGCTCCTACTGTACTGTTGTTACATTTTCTCATATTTGCCTCATAGAGATGAAAGTCTGGGGTATAGAGTTAGCTAAAACATGTTTTCTGAAACTAATTAGAAAATTTCTGACTTCCTGGAAATACTCAAAATCTCAAGGAGTGATTGAATTAATAGAAGCAAGGTATCCTATGACCCTCTAACGTGGGTCAAAGTAGTCCATTTTAACTTCCGACATAAGTATAGGATAACTAATGTAATTTGATCCTCTAGTAATATTTTATTCCTTTATTAAAAATCTTTTATAGCAAATTATTTCATGTCCGACCAGTTACACAAACAGATGTATATAGAGCAGATGCTAAAGAAATTCCAAGGATATTTCAGGTAAACAGCCTTCTGTGTCTTTCATGCTTATTCTGTTTGGATACATCTTTATTCCTCTCTGTCTTGGTAAAGTCTGTAGTATGTTTATATCCTGTTTCTGGCCTTTGCTTTCCTTTTGTTCAAGGTTCATTACGCCATTTTTATTTTAGTTTTTAAGTTTTTCTTAATGTTTATTTTTTTGAGAGAGAGGAAGAGTGCAAGTGGGGGAGGGGCAGAGAGAGAGAGGGGGACACAGAATCCGAAGCAGGCTCCGGGCTCTGAGCTGTCAGCACAGAGCCCGATGGGAGGGTCGAACTCACGAACCATGAGATCGTGACCTGAGCCGAAGCCGGACACTTAACTGAGTCACCCAGGCGCCCCTCATTACGACATTTTAAAACTATACCCTTTCTCTTCTGTTTCTGATTTTATGCTCAGCTCTCTATAAAGTTAAAGTTGTTTGTAAAGGTGAATTTTGCACCCGGTAGCCCTTTTACTTCCAATTTAAAGTGAAGCCAAATGCTTCCCTGTTCTACTTTTGTTTTAAAATTAGTCAAACCCACAATTACTGAGTTCCTTCTGTGTGAAAACCATTGTGCTTGGGGTACTGTGGGAGAGTTGGCCACTTATTTTCTGGATACTTGTAATGTTTATTTGGGGTGTATTATACATCGTTTCCTCTTTCTTCCTCAACTCTCCAAATACAAATCTTTCCATTAAAGCTATGTTAGCAGTTATCACCCAGTTGTCAGTTTTTGAGAATCATAGAGCATCCCTTTGTATAATTGCCACATCCCTTTGGGGGGATTGATTTGAACACTCCCTCCCAGAAAAACTTTCTGATACCCATCAAGCAAAAATTTACCTTTTGGCCTATTCTGATAAAATTGCTGAAACACAGTAAGATCTCCTGGATAAAATAAGGAGGCACATTTGAACAAGATAGATTTTTTCCTGAAAAGGGAACCAAGTGACTGTCTAAAGGCTTTTCTCATATAAGCTTTTAATTAGACGGAACCTACTAATGTTTGAATGTCATTTTCTTTTCATTGAATAATTTAGGCTAATTTTTATTTTATTTACACTGTAAGAATTGTTACTACATAAAACTGTTTGGAAATCATTCATCATTCTTTTTGCTATTTATAGATTCTGTATGCCAATGAAGGAGAAAGTAAGAAGGAACAAGAATTTCCCGTGGAGCCCGTGGGAGAAAAGTCAAATTATATTTGCCATAAGGGACATGAGTTCATTCCTACCCTCTATCATTTCCCAACCAACTGTGAGGCTTGTATGAAGCCTTTATGGCATATGTTCAAACCCCCCCCTGCGTTAGAGTGCCGCCGCTGCCACATTAAATGTCATAAAGATCACATGGACAGAAAGGAGGAGATTATAGCACCTTGCAAAGGTAAATAGTAAATTACTTGTTCCATCAATGTTCTTTACATTCAGGTCCATTTAAACACATTAGTTTTTTCCAAATATTTCTTTTTAGTTTATTATGATATTTCGACGGCCAAGAACCTATTGTTATTGGCAAATTCTACAGAAGAGCAGCAAAAGTGGGTTAGTCGGTTGGTGAAAAAGATACCTAAAAAGCCTCCAGCTCCAGACCCTTTTGCACGGTCATCTCCTAGAACTTCAATGAAGATACAACAAAACCAGTCTATTAGACGGCCAAGTCGACAGCTTGCCCCAAACAAACCAAGGTAATAAATAAAAATGTTAAAAATTACAGTGTCTTTTTTAATATTTCGCTATTTGTGTTCAACTACAAATTTTCCTGATTGTAATGTACCTTTGCTTGGTATTTTAATGAACTGTGGACTACCAAATGTTGGAAACTATTTTAGTGTATATATCTTATCTTATTCATTGATTCAGTTAAATGTAACACAGATTTGTTTACTAAATCACACACCTATTAGATTCAACCTAAAATATATAAAGGGCTCATTTTTGTCATGTTTATGTATATAATCATAATATTTTGAGATTTTGTAAGCATATTGACTGATTTAGTGATTTAGTAGACAGGATGTACGCACAGATCCGTAAGTGTCAGGTACGCATATTGTGTTTAATATTGCAAACCTCTTTTAAGTTAGACAACTTGGGAGGCAGGATCAAAATCTTCCTTAAGTTTTAATTTCACATCTGTAAGTTTAGAATAACAACTTGTTTCTCATTTAAAGAGCAATAGAGATCAACCTTAAAAATGCAGAATGGTTGAAGTAGGTGTGCCTTATATTTGAGGCAGAATTGGGACTAGGAAGTAAATCCAGAGGTAACGATGAACGCAAAAAACATCTTGATGGCACCATTTTCATATGGCGACATTATAGTAATTTAATTCTGGATTCAGAATAACCATTTCTTGGCTTACTAGCTACTACAACATTTGTAAATATTGCTGTTTATTGAAATGAATGTGAAGATTTGGTTAGCTAAAGGATAAAGTGTACACTGAGATCAGGTATCCAGTTTTGGGCATCCTTTTTGTTCCCTAGCACAGGGCCTTCAGTGCATGAGTAATGATGTGCCCTGGCTGTGTTATCAGAGACCTTTGCATGCTAACCACAGACATCTTAAGTGAAACTTTTCTTGAAACTAGTATTTCAAGGTTGAATTGATGTTTTAGCAGTGAAAATGCTGAATTTTTCTGTGAGGTATGGGAAAATTAAATACTATAACATTAGCGATTATGATAGTAATTAAGCTGAAGAAGCTCAAAGAATTCAGAGACACTGAAGGTCATTCTGTGTGCCATGTGCAAAACATCTAAAAATTAAATTTCTGTTATTAATATTGAACAATTAATGCATAGATGCTGTGCTATTTCAATAGCTTACAATATCTCGTGCTTTACAGCTTCCAAAGTGCTTCTATAATCTGTTCTCTCATTCAGCTTTCCATATATTCTGTCATTGGAACTTTAAAATATTTCTGTGGAGTAGAACAGATAGGTATTATTGTCTTTCTTTTTGACTGAGACTCTAGAAGGGCAAATAATTTCAGAGTCAGGACAATAAGAACTCCAATCCTTTTGATACATTTTACTCTTCTGTGCAGTTTGACAAGTTGATGATTTCACTACTTGTGATAACATACAGAATTCGTTTATGAAGCAGTTTTCAGACCAACTGGGGCATATTTTCAATTACATAACAGTTTTCATGTTCACTTCCTTGTAAATACTTTCTTTGTCATCCCCTTCCCTCCAGTTCAGCATTATGGTCTATTGGAGGCACATTTACTTTTTATTTTTGTTGCTTTTTGTTTTATTTTAGTTCTGGCCCCGCCCTTCGAATCATTCTTCACTGATTTTTTAATACATTTTGCATAGCAACAGTAAGTAATAGGGATTTCTTTCTCTCACAACTATGCATGTAGCTGAAACTAATATCAAAACTGACCGTAAAATGTATAGGGTGTTTTGTGAATATTTTTCATCTAATATGTACTCTTTGAAGCTTAAAGCATAGGGATGGGCACATTTAGGATGCAATTTTGTACTTTATTATGCATCTGCAGCATTATTTTCATTGTTAACATCTGTGCCTCCATTGCTTCATTAACTCATAGAATTGTATCTGTGTCTGTCTTACGTGAATCACCCTCCAGTTTCCATTTCATTTTGGGTGTCGCATTTTAAGAGTAGCATACACAAATTGGGGGGTATCCAGAAGAGAGTAACCGAGGTAGTAGTAGGTCATTTGAAAGTGTTACACGTGGGGCGCCTGGGTGGCGCAGTTGGTTGAGCGTCCGACTTCAGCCAGGTCACGATCTCGCGGTCTGTGAGTTCGAGCCCCGCGTTGGGCTCTGGGCTGATGGCTCAGAGCCTGGAGCCTGTTTCCGATTCTGTGTCTCCCTCTCTCTCTGCCCCTCCCCCGTTCATGCTCTGTCTCTCTCTGTACCAAAAATAAATAAATGTTGAAAAAAAAAAATTAAAAAAAAAAAAAAAGAAAGTGTTACACGTGTAGCAATTGAAGGAACTAAGGATTTTTTTTTTTCCTTAGAGTAAGTGTGCACGTGTGCACATGTGAGCGGGAGAGAGGGAGGGAGAGAGAGAGATCTAAGAAGGCCTCATGCCCAGCGTGGAGCCCAAAACAGAGCTTGATCTTCTGACTGCGAGATCATGACCTGAGCCAAAACCAAGAGTAGGACGCTCTACTGACTGTGCCACCCAGATACCCTAAGGACTAAAGATATTTAATCTTCTGAAGAAATGATTTGGAAGGATGGGAGATCATAAATAGCAGTAAAGATTTAAAGAACTTTTCTGTGGATGACATATTAGAACAAGAACCAAACATAGAGGCACATTTGTAACTCAGCAAGGGAAAGGTATCAGGCAATCAGAGATTTCCAGAATTGGAAGGCTGGGCTTGCTCTAGAATAGTAAGTGCCTTGTCACCACTGTTGGTACCTGAGTCAAGTGACTGCTGGGTGACACTGTGGAAGAATACCCTCCTCAGCCTGTCACGTGTGTGTAGTCTGACAGCCACACGGCTCTGGAGGGGAGTCAAGCATTGGACTTGATGGCCTTTAACATTCTACTCATAAATTTATAACATTCCTATAGATAAAAGGGTAGACCTGTTAAAGGATCATTCAGGAACATCTAGGAACAGCATTTCTGGTAGACGTCAGCAGTAATATAATATCTAGCTCTTTGTGTCAGCCCAGCTTTATTTGAACTAATATGCACGGTGTCTTTCTTAAATGTTTGGCTTTGTTAGACATCATCAAATGTGTATATATAAGTATGTACGTTATTTATGTGTACACTAAAAGATAATACCCATAAACATCTAATCTGTCTTTTTTTTTTTTTAACTTTTCCTCAGTAGTTGTCTTTGTTAATGACCACACCATTACATTTTTTTCTTTTGGCTTTTGTGACATTCTTGGTTCTCATTCTCCTCTTAACTGTCTTTGCAGCACTTCCTTTTCTCTGTAGTGAAGTGTTTTAAGTTGATGGTTAAGTAAGTGTTAGCTACTGTTATGTGAAATAGTATTTTTGAGGGCATATTTTATGCCAGGCGCTCTTTCTGTGAGTTTTAACTATGTAAGTTATTTGTCCTTATAACCAGCCTGTGATTTAGCCGTTAATGTCTCCACTGAACAGATGTGGAGGCTGGGGCACAGAAGCACTGTGCACCTGCGGTCACACACCTAACACCCAGCAAAGCCATGAGTTCAGGTCCGGATGGTCTAGTTCCAGATCCCACATCCTCTGCTGTAATACCACGTTGCCTCACAGTGAGAACAGTAGAAATGAATTGACAGCTTATAAGGCAGAATGTGTAGAAATGCTATTCCAGGGGAATGATTTCTTGATAATTTTGAACTAAAAAAAAAAAAAAAAAAAAAAAAAAAAAAAAAAAAAAAAAAAAACCTTGCTAGAAAAGTAGGAAATTTGTGAACAAAATACTGATTTGTGATCAAAATAGTTTGGAGAGATCCTTAGTTTGTTCCAAAGCAGGACACAGAATGCTGGTCTCTGCTGAGGGCATTTCTCTTTAATTATTTTCCTTTTCAAGGTCTTCTTTAAAAATCCAGTGTTTAAGCCACACATAAAAGTATAAAGCAAAAATACAACAAATGCTCATTTACCCAGTTTTAAGAAATAAAGCATTGCCAGCCCTGTTAAAACTTAAGTGTCGGGGGAGCTCTTACGTCATCATTACTTTAGTTTTGTTCTTTTCCGTTTATAAACATTAGAAAATTAACAGACTGCTTATTTAGGGGAAAATGAAAAAAACTATATACAACTTGAAGTGTCAAAAATAAATCCATTCAATGAAGTAGAAGAAAATAGGGGAGTATGTGTCTGATCTTGGATTGGAGAACTTCTTAGGAGTAAAAGCAAAGAAAGTTAGAGATTGAGTAATCAAAAGCTAAAGCCTTGTTAGTTTTAAAAATACCATATATTTGCAATACGTATAAGAAAGATGGGTTAGTATCTTTGTGTATAGATAAGTCATTAAGAAAAAGAAGATTGCCTCTTCCCAATACAAACATTACTGAGGAACATGCAGATGCAGCATTACTATAAATACAGAAACGAGATCAAGTTGATTATTAAGCAAAGAAATTAAATTAAAACTGCCAACCTGGTAAGGATTAAGAAACATAGTATTGGCGAGATGTAAAGAAATGGGCAGTCTACTATACTTCTAGCAGAACTCAAAGTTGTAATGCTCCCTTTCCAGAGCAGTCTTTGGCAGTAATTTTCATGGGCCTGAAGTGTATCCCTACTGATCAATTTAAGGGAGGAGATAGGAAATCAAACCGATAGTTACAGTACCATTTAAAAAAATGTTTTTTCATAATAAGCATGAGTGAGTGTTAGAGGGGAACAAAGGAAAGCATGGAGAATTCTGCCCCAGGGTATCAAGAAACGTCTCCAAAAGGGGAAGATCAGTAATTTTCCAGGCAGAATAATAAGGGAAAAGACGGTGGTAGGCAAAGTGTTGACTTGTAGAGGCACTGAGTTGTCAATGTTACTTGCGTATTATGCGTTTATAATGTGCTGGATTAAGATGGGGCGAGGGTATGACAAGGAGAAGAAGCTGACACTGGAGAGAAAACTTTGAGCCAAGTTGAAAAGGACCGGGTACACTATGCTAGAGGAGTGTTTATTTCGTTCTTCAGATAGAAGTCTTTCAACAGGAGATTGGTATGTGTTGACTTTAATGAGCTCCTTCACTAAGGTACTGACAATGAAAATGGAGGGAAGAAACCAAGTTAGAGAAAGCTTTCTTAAGGTGAAATGACAATAATTCGATGGCTGACTGGAAGGGGCTGGGGG